CCTGCCAGACGCCTCTCTGGGCATGCTACAATGCTGCCTGCCACCCTCCCACATCCTCAGTTCTTGTGCTGACGCTCCAATGAATGGACATACTGTGTGACACTATCTCCCCTTCTACCACGTGCATCAACCATCGTCACTATGCTCAAGAGGCCAGCTACTACGTCATTAACTACCCCCAAAGAACGAGATATCAAGGCAAGCAATTACACTGGAGCAGAAAACAAGGTGCTGGAAGCACTGCAGCGTGGAAATGGCACTTCAAGTGTGGGGCTCCAATTTGGACTGTCGGAGAGCTCTGTCCGCACTAGCAAGCTCAACAAGAAGAAAATCAGAGCAGCCTATGCTTCACCAGATGTTGCCAAGGGTAAACTCCACCTGAAGTCTGCTATGTATGGTGAGATGGAATAAGCACTGAAGTTATGGGTAGAAGACATGCAGCGCCGAAAACTTCCTCTCACTGGCCCCATGCTGCAAAACCAAGCCTACGAAATACAGTCTCAGATACTTGAAAAGAAAGGGAAGTCCATCAAAGACAGCAAGTTCACAGAAAGTACAGGCTGGCTGTACAAATTTATCAAAAGGACGAGGCTACGGAATGTGATGCTTTCAGGTGAAGCTGTATCTGCCGACGCGGAGGCGGCTTAGGACATGAAGAAAGTTCTGAAGGATATAGTATCAGAAAATGGTTATTCTCCTTGTCAAGTGTGGAATTGTGATGAAACTGAGCTGAATTGGAAAAGAATGCCCAAGTAAACTTATCTATTGAAGAGTGAAGAAAAGGCACCAGGGTTCAAGGTCAACACGGACAGACTGACGATTCTCCTCAAGGCCAATGCATCAGGCACCGCACGAATGAAACCACTCGTCATTCACCACTCGGCTAGACCTCGTGCCCTGAAAAATGTGCCCCTCCCAAAACTTCCTGTAATTTGGCAATCAAACAAAAAGGCATGAATGACTTCTGATATTTTCGATGAGTGGTACATCAGCCATGCCACCCCATTCATCGAAAATGTAAAAAAAAAAAAAAAGAACCTTAGCAACAAGGCCTTGGTTCTCATGGACAACACATCTTGCCACTCCACACACCTGTGCAGTGTGAATAAGGACGTAAACTTGACCTTCTTCCCTCCAAACGTGACTTCACTTATTCAGCCACTAGATCAAGGTGTTATTGCCTTGTTCAAGAGATATTATCTCAAGTTTACCATGAAGCAAATGGCTGAAGCTATGAACAAGGACAACAATATGACTGCAGCAATGTTTTGGAAAAGCTACACCATCAAAGATGCCATAGCTAACATTGCACTTGCGTGTTAAAGTGTTCCAAAAGCTGCACTAAATGGAGTGTGGTGTAATCTGTCGCTCGTTAAGAAAGTGAGAGGTAACTCAGGATTTAAAAAAATCCAAGAGGAGGATGTGAATGAACTGCTTGTCAGCATGGCGGATCCTCTCACTTCTGAAAAAGTCTTGGAGATGGTGGAGATGGCAAAGAAACCTGAGGAAGAAGAGGAAGCAACAGATAAGCCCCAAACAGCGAGGCAGGAACTGAGAATTCCTAAGCTGAGGGAGTTCATGTAGCACGTCACTTCTGCCACCCAGTCTGCACTGCAACATGACCCTGATATGGAATGCAGTATGCAAGTTGTGGAGGCGTTGAATCGGGATGCATCTACGTACTCTCAGCTGCTAGATCAGATGGTTATGGCTCGGCAACAGAAGAAAACTACCTCATTCTTCCGTCCATTATCGTCACCAGGTGAGTTTGTTATGAGACTTTGTGTTTATTGCTTGGAAAAATAGACATTAAATTTTGGGTGTACAACATGTAATAATTATGTGGTAGAAATTCAATAATTTAATGAGTGTTTTCCATTCCTTCAGCTCCTGGGATTGCTGATCCATCTACGTCTGGGCAGACATAACCGTCATCCAGTGCTTCCCGCATGTCAGGTGCCTCCACACCACGAGACAGTGATGTGGATGATGAGCTGGTCGAGTTGGGCTCTGCACCTTCAGAGGATGACTTACCTAACTAAAGGTGGGTGAAAATCTATTTTTGATAGCATAAAGTAATGAAAAACTAAGTTGAGAGGAAAGTGAAAAGTGCATGGCGAGTGGTAGGGATGGAGTGAGGCAGACGAAAGGTAGGTGGTGTGCGGTGCAAGCGCGACCACCCTCTCACATCAGCTGATCGCTAGTAAACAGACCATTTTGCGACCCATAATTCCAAGATAATTTCCCCGATAACCGGAAAGTTCCTGGGATTTTTTTTTGGTGGGGGTCCAGAGATGAAAACCAGGAGCATTTTCCGGAAATTCCGAGAGAATTTACTGATATCCGGAAAATTACGGGAATGAAGGACATTTTTCCGGGTTTGAGAAATGATGTAATGGGCAATTTCTGGAACTTCGGAGAACATTTTTCCATTACTCAGATAATTCTGAGGATGAGGGATTTTTTCCGGCTTTGAGAGAGTTGTTTCATTACCCGGAAATCTCTCATTCCCGGAAGTGTTCTGCACCAATTGTTCCGGTTAACAAAGATATCACTATAACGCACATTCATCCCCTGGTTCATCCGGACATTTGCCATTTCTAGCCTTTACCTGGTGGTTATCATAAACAATAACCAGCTACAATTAAAGGATGGGGGAGGTGCAAATGAAGCTCCCTGGGTTAGACAGACATGAACCCTGTGGGAGATTAGGTCTTGATTTATTTGAACATCAACTTGGGCAAGAAGGGTAACCGAGGCAAAGTATATTAGAGTACATTATGCCAATACACGCTTAACTTGCAGATTAAATCTGTAACATTAATTTTTGAGATATCAGGAAATAATAAAAAAATATAAAATGACTATTAAAATGTACTACCTGATGGAATATTTGCATAAAAAGAAAATTACAATTACCGTATATCTCGGCCTACAAGGCGACGGGGTGTATAAGACGGCCCCCAAAATTTCCATTTAAAAAGTAGCTTTTGAGCCCTATTCGCTGTATAAGACCAGTACCCCAAATGTGACACTTACCATTGGGAGCTTACTGACCCAGTAGTCCTTTACCAACCATCCCATTGACCAGTGCTGTTTACACATCCTTGGTTTTTTAAAATAAAGCCAATTCACTTCAAGTAATGGCATCAAATTTTACCGGTTGGTGTAGTGTAAACACTAGTGACTCACTTAAAAGTTTGTTATTTAACTTGAACTAATGTCGGTGTCGAATACAATTGTTTCATTTACTTAAAATGGATTTACCGATTTATTTGTTTATTTATATCATACTGTAATATATTAAACACACTGGAAGTATTTTCTTTAATTTATAAGCTTGCTTCAGCGAGCTACAGTATTCTAATTCAATAGTGTTTCATTAGGATTTGAGTGAAAAAGATTACTGTACATACTTACTACATACATTTATTACACAAATATATATATATATATATATATATATATATATATATATATATATATATATATATATATATATATATATATATATATATATATATATATATATATATATATATATATATATATATATATATATATTCACAATATTTTACAATCGCAGTCATGTACTGAATATTCTATGTAAAAAATATAAATTTTAAATGAATTATTTATTGTGTGGTCGACTTCCTACACAAAGACGGGCTATAAATAGCCGTCTTATCTCCCCTCCATCTCTTACCCTCTGTTCTGAGAGAGAAGGTCTTGGTAAATAACTTTTGTTTGTTTATTTTCATTGTTTGTCAAATTTATCATGTTGTATCAAAGTAATATTACTAAAAGTTTTAGGCAGCTACCAAACAGGGAGATTCTACTGCCTGGGAAGATATTGGAAGCATAATGTACAGTATTGTCTAATGGTAGGTCCTACTTCCATATGGCATCACGAAAATTGTGACCAAGTCTTAGGTTGCTGATTTATCTTACTGCCTCATTTACACACAATTGCAGAGTTTCAATTGTTTCTCTTCCTTTGACAACACAACATACATACAATATAATGTTTCACCTTTGATCTTTTTTCCATTTATTTATGGTTGGTTATTTAAAATAATGCCAATTCACTTCAAGTATTGGCATCAAATTTTACCCGCTGGTGTACACTAGTGACTCACTTAAGCGTCAGTTATTTAACTGGAACTAATGTTGGTGTGAGTAAAATATTTCCATTTACTTGAAATAGATTTGCCGATTTATTTGTTTATTTATTTAGTTATAATATATTGTAATACATTAAACACACTGCAAGTATTTTCTTTAATTTATATACTGGTTTCGCGAAAAAGGAAGGCTACCATTATACCTGGTAGGTGAAGTTGACCAGACATTTATGATCATTAAGGACCAAACTCCGAATCCATGACGTGACTTCTGTTAATCATTCTCATCCTAAATTTACCACTGTCGGTAGTTTCGAGAATTAACGCAGTCATTTACTGAATATTTTTTGTAAAAAAATAAATTTTAATTAATTATTTATAGGAGATAAGTATTATGATCAGTAAATATACAGATATGCATTACTGACCACCTCCGAACACAAGGACGGCTAAAAATAGCCACAGGCGGTCACTGTCAAGGTCGCTTTCCCTTTCTCGTCACTGGCATATGGGGGGGGGGGTGATGATAGCAGCTGTGTTTATTACCGGGGTATATTGTTCTTTTACGGTATGTTAGACTGGTTTATAATACATTTTTATTATTTTAATATACTAGTAATCTTCATTTTAATCCAGCTTCCCAAATGTAAGTTTCAGTATAAAATAATTAGTGGTAGGACCTTGTGAGTGGTTTACCATGTTTCCATCACCACTCTTGACAGCTAAACCGCAAAATTTAAGAGGTAAGAATTTTATCTCTGGTGCTTAAGACGACCCCCTAACTTTGGGCTGATTTTTTTTTTCTTCAAATTCCGTCTTGTAGGCCGAGATATACGGTATCACTAAATACAATAAACTAATACATATTATACTTACTAAAGAAACAAGATCGACCTTGGTGTTTAAACTTCGCTGTTTGTTCAGGAACGTAATGCCATGAGTAACTGCAGCTGATGATGCCAAACCATTCAAGTTAAGCCTCGAGAAATCAAAGGACGACAGCTCCTCAGCAATCTTCTTGATAAACCTGGGTGGTGTTCTAATACCACTGGGGAAAATCATGCAAGCAAAGGCATGTATGCAGCTAACAATGCTTAACAAAATTGCAAAGATCATCAAGTATAGTCCTTCCCTCCTTGGGTCATGTCCCAAAATAACCGTAAGAAACACTGGAGATGTGATAACAGCCAAGCCTCCATAACAGATTGCTGACATCAGGGCAGTACAAGCCATCTGAAAGGAAATAAAAAATGACTGTATAAAATATAATCAGATTATGTTCCTATTCACATTGTTTTACCTAACCAGCACTGAGATAATAGGGAACACATTCTGACTAAAGTTGCCTCTTAAATTAATGTAATTATATAAAATTTCAAATTTTGTTTGCTCCCATCACTACTTTGAGCAGAATTCGGTAAAGTTATCCCCTGATTTTAGGGGATTTCTTTAATGGAATGTCACTAAAAAAAATGGTTAATAGTAATCTCCCTATTAGCTGGAATAATTAGAGCAAAGCATTTCCGGAGTTGAGACGAATTCTCTTATCCCCGGAAAAAATTGCATAAAGTATTTACGGAATTTTCCCAGGCATTGGTGAATATTTTCACATCTAAACTATGCATCTGACATAGAGCACCATGCTACAGAGGCTTAACTGCAGTTGGACAGCCACAGAGTGGTAGTTATTTATGCAATCACAACTGTACACATACAGTACAGTAAACTCCCTCTAACCTGGACCTGCTGAATCCAGATCCCCTTGCAAACTGAACTGGGGTCCAGCACTGAGCACATGGATCCCAACCCGGAAAAACACGACCAAAATCTTTTTATTAGAAGGGGAAAGTTCATGTAACCAGTGCACAGAAATCCCCATGACCTGAGATTGATCAATGCTACACTTCTGGCTTTAGCAAAGCTCATTTTTTCTTTTATGCTGATATGGAGTATCTCTCTCTCAAGTCGGAACTGGTCACAATCACTAGAATAGGCAGGGTGCGCCTCACTAAAGAAAATAGCAGACTGGACCCGGACATTTCAGAACCTCACCATTCTTATCACCGTAGTTAACACATACGGCATGATGACCCTGTTGCAACCAACAACAAGTGCAGCTAACATATATACAGGAAAGCCTCGGATAACAACGGTTCGACCAACAACTTTTCGAATTTGAAACCCTAGATAATTTAGGACCCAATTCAGTTTATATCCTTGTTTCATTCGCATTTGAAACCCTAGATAATTTAGGCCCCAGTTCAGTTTACAACCTTATTTCATTCGTATTTACAACCAAAATATAATAAAAATAAAATTAAATTAAATTTTCATATAAATAATAACTAAATCCTTATATTATAAAAAAAAAAATACTACAAAAAATGAAGAGCACCTTATGCAAAGAAGCTGCCTTACTAATGAGTGGTAGACAACAGTCTGAGCATGGCGACCCTTTGGTTTTCAGGAACAGAAACTTGAGAAAAACTTTCTCCGGTTTCTTACAGCATTTTTGCATCTCTATTCAAAATGAGCAAGTGATGGTAGTGTTGTTTCAAAAGCTAATAGAAAGTGTCTTAAGCTTAGCCGAGAAACTAGATGTGCTAAAACGATATGAAAAAGGTGAAAGGTCTGTGGATATTATATGGAGCAAGCAATAATATATTTTCTGAAGTGGATCCATTAACAGAACAAAGCATTAAAATTTAAATAAACGCAAATGACCTCTACATAAAGATGTATAATGAGAAAATAAAGCAGCTGTGCAGAGTTCTTTCGAGAGCTTTATTATTCGAAGGCCTCAACCATCAACTTCAGCTACACCATCAAATTCAGCATCATAAGCAGCTTCAACATGAACCTCAGGTTCAGTAACAGTTTCAGCAACAGCTTTATGGAAACCTACAGCTTCAGCCAGAGTTGAACCTGATGTCTTCGTCATCTGAGTAAAAATTCGCACAATATTCCTTATGTTTCAGACTTTACCGCCATTGGCGAGTAGAATTTTAATTTTACATTTGTAAATATTATTTAAAACTTATATACTGTTCATATAAGTGTTGCTTTCAAATTCATATGTTCAGAAATGACGATACGTTTTCACATGTAAGCACTTACTGTTCATACGTTGGCGTTCCCTATCGTCTCGCCTTATTTCTTTACCATTAGTGGTTAGCTACTCCTAGTGTGTGTATATATATATATATATATATATATATATATATATATATATATATATATATATATATATATATATATATATATATATATATATATATATATATATATATATATATATATATATATATATATATATATATACAGTTGTACCCCACTTAACGCGGTCAATTGAACCCAGAGGGTCCCGCGTTAAGTGAAAACCGCGTTAAGTGAATAACAGAACATATGGGATTAATTCCAATAGAACCCAGCCCGACCCCCAAACTCCACTTTTTGACGACAAATAACTGAGGTTAGGTTAGGAAAGATAGTGTTACTATAGGAAAATAAAGGTTAGGTTAGGAAAACTAAAAGCTTGGCGAACACTCTGGCCGGTAGAGATGGGTCGGCATACGGGGATGGAGGTTGGTTCTGAGGCAGAGGCAGATTATCGTTCTCAGGTGAATCATCACCATTAGCCAGTGAATCATACTACTGTCACAGTAGTTGCTGTGTTTTCCTGACAATCAAAAATCGCCTTCACTATCACTATCACTGGCTTGGGCTGGCTGTGGTGGGTTGCGCTTAAGAACCGGTTATGTTTCTTTGCTGATTTGCCGTTTTGATGTTTTCATGATACACCGGATGTACGGCCCACAGCTCAGTCGGTGAAGACGCCAGCATGCTCATCGTCAGTGTCAGCAAACGATGTACTTAATTTTTTCTGTTAACTCTATGACACACTTAATATCACTATGACTTAAATCTAGGTCTGGCCGGAGAATTACCCAAAGACCTTCTTTCCTCCTCTCCACTTAAAGTGTTCTTCTTCCAACATCTCGCCGGCAGTCACTTCAGGATCTCCCTGATCACTCCATGATGTCTTCAAGCAGGAGCCCTGAGAAGCCTCTAGCTGTAAATAGTCTGCTAGGCTTTCAGTAAGCAAACCACTGGTTACTGCAACAGTCTGAACCTGACCAGTCACAGGTTCACTCCTCCTCTCACTCAGTATGCTTATGCAACACATGTCTCCATGCGGATACCTAATCGTGAGCACAGACAGGCAGATCCCATGCTCCACCAAGAAGTCTACAGCTTGTTTGACGTTAAACTTCCTTCCAAAAATTGTTTGACGAACTTTGAGTTTGCCGTTTTTGTTCCTTGTCCTCGCCGCTTTTACTTCAAGCTGTTTTGTGTGTCACCCAGCTTACTTAACCTCATTCCAGTGTTGGGTAGACGTTTGGTGGAGCTTGAATTTTGTTTAGTATGCAGCTAATGCTGGTAGATTAACTCCTGGTCCATATACTGGATTAATGACGCGGGTGTTGGGAGGAAGGAAGACCACTTTTTACGCTAGGTGACGATCCGCTGAAACAGTAGGGCGCAGTGTCCAGGTGTTATCAAGGAGCAACAAAAATGTTGAATGGAATAATCGGTTACCGAGAATTTCTGCACGCCAGAACAAAAAGTTGTCAAACCAGAAGAGGAGAGAAGAAAGGACATCCACGTTTTACGCAAGGGTTAAATAGTGATATTGCTTTGTCTATGTCCATATTCTTGTAGCGGCAGTTTATGCGGGCTTGTGAATCAACATAACTTTGGTTTATAGGCATCGAGGTATTGGTAAATATAGATTTGTGATGCGTTTCCTTTTCTGGCATCTTCCTGCCCCTTTACCTGCTCGTAGATCGGGATGTCAAGGTCTGGGAAGGTAATTCTTTTTTCCAGAAAAGACCAGATTCGGCTCCATGTTAAAATACCCGGTCGCTGGGTGTACTGTCCTTCCTCCATAATCTCACGTAAAACGTATGAAAATTCCCCAGTCGCCGCATCGTCAGCACTCTCGCTTCTTTACCAACAATGCTGATGTTGGTGATCTTGTTCTCTCCTCAAACCTATGCAGCCGTAACCATGGAAAGCATTAAAGGTTTGGGCTCTGCACTCGTAGTTTACGTGTCACTGCTGCGATAGTCGGCGTGGCGTATTCCCGTACTGAGCGCCGCGGTTCACCGCCATGTTGCCAAATTTTGACGACCAAATCACCAAAGTTAGGGAAAGCCACTTTGCCAGCACCTCATGTTCTGGCAATACCTGATAGCTGAAGCACTAGTAGACTTTGTGAGCTCTATGTGCTCCCTTTATCTTGGCTGCATCTCTTATTGTACGTACCCAGAGATCTGTTGACGCTATGCTGGCTACGAGATCACCTTTGGCTGTGCCTTCTTTCTCTAAACTTGAACAATTTGCATTTCAGTCAGTTTAATGAACGTCAGTGTCTTTGGTTTAGGTGCCGCTGGGTCCAGGTGGCGAAAGGTTTCTCTGGGTGGTGATCATGAAGCCATTTCATGAACAATGGATGCTAATCTGGAAGTGTACCTTGAGGATGAAACTGTCACGCTGAAGCCAAGCTGGCCAAGCCCCCTCCTCCTCCTCCTCCCCCGGGGCCACGGCCATAATACTTTAAGCCACCAGTTAGTGTAGAGGGGGAGGGGCTGCATAATAATCATAGTCTCGAGACGCTATATGACGCAAAGCAACGCAGCGATGCATGGCCATCATAGTCAGACGCTATATGACGCCAGTAACGCAACAAAGACACACATGGCAATCTCACTGCTCAGCTACCAAGCGGAGGGAGGAGGAGGGAGAGGGAGGGCAGGCAGGCGGGGTGGGTGGCTGCCAGGTCAAAATCAAAAATAGCATCCGAGCCGACACTCACTGCTGCAGTTGTGGAAAAAATCCGCTAAGTGAAAGTTCAGCTATAGGCACAGATATATGAAAATGCTATGAAAGCTATAAGCGGGTAATACTGTATATATATATATATATATATATATATATATATATATATATATATATATATATATATATACAGTGACCTCCGTAATCTAACTCAACTGCCCAGAAGGTCGTTCGTTAACCGAAAAGTTCGTAAACAAACCATTGTTTCAATGGGTTTTGCAATGTTCCAGCTCACGAAAAATTTCTAAATTCAGCAAAAATGGTAGAAAGTTCACTTACTTTGAGGTGTGTATGTAGAAGGCTCCTGGATGATGATGATGATGATGATGATG